TTGAGGACTCCATTCCTTCCCTTAGGGAGTCACTGTAAGGAATGTTATGAGAGGCCCAGCTGTGGAGAGGTATTTATTGCACCTCCAGGAGTCACTGTAGGGAATGGTTGGCTTGTGCTGACTACATCTGCGGAGAGGTGGGGGGACTTGAGCATGTTTAGTGACTTGATTTGCATTAATTTTTTTATCCTCTTTGCTTAGACAGGGAATGGGGTTCAGTTTACTCGGAGCCACCATATTGTTAGAAAGACCACTTTGTATGACATGGATGTCGACCCCAGCTTGAAGTATGCTGCTATTGGCTGTCAAGACCGTAACATCCGGTAGGTTTGTTTTGTTGCCTTATTCTTGCACTTCAGAAACCAGTTAGCAGAGAATATTTTCCCCTACAAGTCATTTAGTGTAGTTTTTCTTAGCATTTGAATTCCTAAAGTGTCATCTTGAGGCCCCAGTGAGCCTGAGTTCTCCTCTTCTCCCCAGTAGTGAAAAATCTTGGAACACGCACGGTGACTTTGAGTCTCTTAGCCTGTGGTTGAGTTCCATGCAGGGGAGAGGCTCTCCTGGTTGAGCAAGTGACTGTGCTTTCCTATGGCGTGTGTTCTTTTCCCTGAAGTGGCTTTTACCATCACAGGAATGTCAGACAAAATAACATATGTTTCTGTGAAATCTGTAGAATTGGGGGAATCCAAAGCTGGGGTTGACTGTTGCTGTCCTTTAGCAACAGCTGTCAACTGAAGTTGACTGTCTGCTTCCATTTTGAAATTTCTGCCAGTCTTTAATTTTTCTATTTGCACCTGCTTCCCCCTGGGGAAAAGACACTTTTTCCAGTCCTGCAGTGGTACCCTTTATTGTATGCTGATGAGTTTCTAGGAGGTGACTTGTTTTATACCCTGCTTCAACAGAAGTTCTGCCTCCCAACTTCCCTTCCTCTCCTGTAACCACACTCCTCATGGATGGTCTCTCAGTAGTCTTAGTTGTGTGGAAGTGTCATTCCTGATGCATCACCAGTGGCTGTCATTCAGTGCCAAAAAGCTAATTCTTTTCTGCCTGCTCCATCAGTTTCCTGAAACAAACATATTCTTTGCCTAATCAGTTTAAGACTTAAGTCAGAGTTTTAATTCAGATAATCTGTTTTGTATTGCAGTCTTGGGGCCAGCATGCTAGTTTCCAAGTTGTACATTTAACCACTTGAATGATTGAACTTTATGAATTATGGCCAGTATAGTTCCTTGGAATGGCTGTTGGCCCTATAGCCCCCCACTCTGTTGTGTGTGGGGGTGGCCTGCCATGGAGAGAAGAGAGGGAAGGGATCTTGTGAGAAGAAGTGGAGAATGATACATGGGTGTAATGAGTTGTTTCTTGTGTTCCCCTCAGGATTTTCAATATAAGCAGTGGGAAGCAAAAGAAGTTGTACAAGGGATCTCAAGGTGAAGATGGCACCCTCATTAAAGTAAGACCTCCAAGAATTCAAACATAACCGTTTTTTATTTTTTCCCTGTTCCTTCATCCTTTTCATCACTCTCCTGAGCTAAATCCAATACCCTGGAATTATGTATGGGTCCAGGGTATTATGATGTGTAAACCTTTTCCCCCTGAAGTGCTAATAAGGGACATACGTGCCATTTTTTATTTTACTGAATTTGTTTGACTTTTAGTACATATTAAAAAGTTCCCAAGTAAGATTCTTGGTACCTAAATCATAATTAAAAACAAAACAAAACACCATATTTACTTGAGTATAAATGACCTTGAATATAAAATGATGCCCTAACAATTAGGTTCTATACCTAGAAAATCTTTAAAATTTGTTATAATTTTGTTATAATTTTCCAGGTATAGAATTTAAGTATTGCAGGGTTGTTTTGAATCCCCACCCTCATCGCTAAAGCAGGGAAAGCAGTGGCTGGGAGGGAAGGGGGATCAAGTACTCCCCTTGCCCTCTTTCCTGCCCTGCCCACTTCTTTCCCCTGCAGTGTTCCTGCCACCTCCCCACCAGCTCCCCACAGCCTCTGTCCCTCCCCTAACTCCCCCTAGTCTCTGCCTCTTTTTCCCAAACTCCCTCCAAGTCTCTGCAATCCTTACTGTCAGATGCTGCTCAGGCTGAGAGCACTGGAGTGGAAGAAGTTCAGCCTTTACTTGGCCTTGCAGCAGTGTTAACATTGGGAGAATCAGTGGAAGACATTTCCTTGTGCCCCGTGCCGTATGCAACCTGAGCTGGAGCCAAGCTGTGCCTGACAGTAAGGGGGTGGGCTGGTGGGCAGAGACTGGAGAGGAAGTAGTGGAGGGGAGAGGGCCAAGAAGGCTGCTGTGGCTCTGACTGGCTCAGACCCAGAGCCAGAGATACAGCAGTCTCCTGCTTCTCCCTCCACTTTGTATGTGAATATAAGATAAGGGGCTTTTTTTCATGCTGACTGGCTGGGGGGAAGGGGGGCAGACCTTGTTTTATATTTGAGTAAATATGATACAATGTGTACAAAAAAAGTACTCGGCTGGCAGCTGTTTCTCATCACAGATGCCTAAAACAATTAGTTAAAGATGAAATCAGAATCCAAACCAACCCTCCCTTTGCTTTCCTACAAATACTAGCCTTCAAGTCCCAGCAAAAGCCTCAAAAAACACACTTGGGCTAACTGACACCAAAACATAGACTAAGTGAATAAATACTACATTGTGCTTCAAACTGTGTGTTGGACCAGACTTTCTTTTGGGCCAATTTGTCAGTTGCTGGAACTGAACCAATACTTGCTAGCAGAGTTTGGTCTGTTATGTGCTACTTGCAAGAACCAGAGTCACTTCTCCCTATTAGCTGTAGAGGCACTTTCCAGGAGGACCTTGCCTTGTAGAAGGCTATTGTGTATTCCTGCCTTGATGTGGTTCTTTTCCCTCTCAGATGCTGATGAGAAGCTTGTATGTGATCCCTCCATCCCTTAGGCTCTGTTCAGGAAGACCTTGTTCCAGCCCTCTTGGTTATTTGTGTTAAGATTACATGTTGGAGCTGTCAGTGGTCAAAGTTAATGAGGAATTTATGAACCCCTTGAAATGCTAGGGTGTTGCCCAGAGAGTGATCTTCACACAAATGACATGCAGAAATGTCGATGAAACCAAGGCAGGCTCCCACAGGTATGCCTTGCTCTTCTGAGGGACTTGCAGTACTGATGCAAGCTCTGTGTTCAAATGTGCCTCTGTTCTCAGATACTGCATCACTTCATCCTGTACTCCTGGCAGACATGGGTGATTTGGGGATGGACATGTAAGAACACAGCTAAATTATGAGATCACTCTTATGACTTGGTATACTTGAAGTCTTGTTCCCAAAGTCAGAAGGCAAGTTGACTTCAACAAACAAATCTGTTAAGTTAATTTACTGCAGCAAAGCCTCAGGCCATGTTTCCTTTTCTGTCAAACATGTGTGTCTCCTGTATGTTTTCATTGATGGGTTTTTTCTTTTTCTCCTTCTCTCTCTTTTTTTTTTTTTTTTAATGATTATTTCTACTGGGGGAGGTAAACTCTCATTTGATTTAATGGAAATAAATGCATTGTTTAAAAAAGAAAAGTCATCTTTTCTGCTTTTGCATAAATAGAGCTACATGGTTGTTGTTTTTTTCTTTTTTGCAAACGTGATAGTTTTCCCCTTTCCCACAGCATTTATAAACTAGGGCACTGAACATGAAAAATTGCTGCTGCACCTTATAACTGAACACCTGACTTGATCAGTAATATCTCTCTGGCCTCAAACTGTAAAATGTTGCTTATGGGTGGTTTTGTTGTTTTTTTTTTTTTAAATATTGTGTATATTTGCTGACATGGAGAGAACCCTGTGATACAGAACACTGATATTGTGCAGCTCATAATTTTTCCATTTTTTCCCTTTACATATTTAGGCTAACTATGTAACGTGGTGATCTCTTTTGATGCTGCAGTATAAACTTATTTGGAGCCTGGCACTCTGAGGTTAAACATTTTTATATAGCATATAATTGGGACTTAAAAATGCAGCAATAAAACTGAAATAACTGCTATTAAAAGCACAAACTCTACTAATCCAGACCCCTTTTATTTTTGAATTTCCGAAGTTCTGCAAAGCACAGATATAGTAAGAGCTCCAATACAGAATTCGCAAAAGTATTAACAAAGCAAATTTTAGAATTACAAGAGTAAGCGTGTTAACAACTCCTTTGAGTATTTATTGCATTGCTGTTTGAGCAGACTAGTTTCCATGCTTGAGGGCTCAGGTTTTGGAGATGCTTTGTATAGTGTTACTAGCTATGACTATCCTGGGGTTGGTATGGCATAAACTGTTTAAAAAATCTAGGATCAACTGAAAAATAATGAGCTCTGTTCATTATGGGAGGGAGGAGGAAAAAGGGGAATTTGATTGGAGTATTACAGCAAATTCAGTGGAATCTTTAAAGATAATCAACTTCATTTTTGGATTTGGTTGGAAAAGCTGTGGGTTACCTGGTATTTTGAGAATAAGACTGGAGATAACTCTGTGAAGGGGTTTGACAGGTGAGTTGGTGGTTAGGTGTTTGTCCTGGGGTGCTGGCAAGATGAGTAGGGACACATGTGAGTCACTCAGTAGTTTGCTGCTGATCATGACTAGCTTCTATGAAGATGAATGATGGTTTTTGCTGTGTCTAAGTGTGTCATCCTTACTGACATTGGATTTTTGATACATTATAATCTACCTGGCAACTGACTCCCCAGCCCAGCCCCTGGCTTCTTTTTTTTCATTTTATCCAGGAAGAGCACACACCAACTGCTGAAACTTCCTTAGCCTGACAAAGGGTTTTTGAACTCGAAAGCTTGCTTAATAACTATTCTCCAACTATTTGGGTTGGTCTAATAAAAGATATCAAATTCACCCAAGGAACCTTGTCTGCCTATGTCCTTAGACCAACATGGCTACAACCTACACCCCTGCAGGATATCCTTACTGAGTGACATCTGTGCTGGTAAAAGGCAGGGTAGATTTGCAACTTCATAGACTAAATCAGAGATGTACAGTATAAGATTTCTTAAGCAGAGGGCTTACTTCTCCGGATGTTGTGAAAGGACTGCAGGAAGCAGTGATTAGAAAGGGTAGGAAACGGGGAGAAAAGAAGATGGGGAGCTGGTTAGAGAGGCAAGATGGCTAGGAGTCAGAGTCAATAGACGGGAAGGGACCTGTAAGACCATCAAGTCTGGTCCCCTGCCATAGGGAGGAGGTTAAAGACCTCAAACTAGCTCAAAGAGGCGCTTATCTAGCCTCCTCTTGAACACCTCCAAGGATGGGGTGTTATCTGCACCACCTCTGCCAAGGGTGTGTTCCAGGTTCTAGTTACCTTTATGGAGAAGAAGTTTTTCCTTATGTCCAGCCTAAATCTTCCCTCTGTTAGTTTGTGACCATTGGTCCTCGTCCTCCGAAGGGGTTCCTTCCTGAAGAGTTGCTCCCCCAGGTCCTGGTGTTTCCCCCCTGACATATTTGTAGGCAGCTATCAAGTCACCTCACAGCTCTTTTACCCAAACTGAACAAGCCCAGCTCCCTGAGTCTCTCCTCATAGGGCCTATCCTCCAGGCCCCTAACCATGTGGGTGGCCCTTCTCTGCACCCTCTCGAGTTTTATCTGCATCCTTTTTGAAGTGTGGTGCCCAAAACTGGGCACTGTACTCCAGCTGCGGCCTCACCAACACTGAGTAGAAAGGGAGAAGCATCTCTTTGGATTGTTGACAACATATTGCCTGATGCACACCTGAGTTCTATTTGTCCTGCTGGTGACTTCCTCACACTGTTGGCTCATATTCATCTTCTGGTCGATTGTGACCCCCAGGTCCTGTTCAGATGCTGTGCCAGCCAGTGGGCTACTGCCTATCCTATAGTTGTAGTGAAGGTTCTTCCTACCCAGATGAAGGACTCGGCACTTTTCACTGTTGAACCTTATCTGATTCCGATCAGCCCATAGAACCAGTCTGTCAAGGTCGTCCTGGATCTTTACCCTATCCTATAGTGTGCCCACAGCTCGGTATCATCTGCAAACTTAATCATAAAGCATTCCACCCCCTCATCCAAGTCGCTAATAAATATGTTAAAAAGCGCGGGTCCAAGCGCCGACCCAGGGGACACCGCTGGAGACAGTCCTCCAGGATGAGGCCATCCCATCAGTTTACAAGTCTCTGGGACCAGCCTTTAAGCCAGTTATCCATCCACCTCGCTGTAGGCTGGTCCAGGCCAGTACCCTCCAGTTTGATTGAGAGAATTTCATGGGAGAGTGAATTAAAGGCCTTACTGAAATCTAAGTAAATGATGTCTACCAGGTGGTTATTGGTATTCCTTCTGGAATACCAATGTGAAGTATTTATTTAGGAGCTCTGCCTTTTCGTGGTGATCAACTGTGGGCTGTCCCTCTGTATTCAGTAGGGATCCCACAGTGGAGCTTTTTTTTTTCTTGCTTCCCAGGTATCTGTAGGAGGACTTTTTGTTTTCCTTTATTTCAGATGGCAGCTTGATCTCCATGCCTGTCTTGGCTTTTCCGTTATCTCATAACTGCAGACTCAGATTATACAGTGAACTCTTCTCTGGTTGCTGAGCCTTTTTTCCATTGATTATATGCATCTTTTTTCTTTTTCAAAAGTCCTCTAATGTCCCTGTTGAGCCAAACCGGGTCTCTTGGCTCCTTTCCCACTCTTTGATTTCATGGGAATGGCCTCTTTTTGAGCAGTGAGAATTGCTCCCTTGAAGAGGCACCATTGCTCCTGAACTCCCAAATTGTCCAGTTGCTGGTCACAGAGGGCCTTTCTAACTAGCCTCCTGAGTTTGTCGAAGTCCGCTCTTCTGAAATCTAGGACCTCTGTTTTACTAATTGGGATCCTAGCCTTCCGGTGGATGGTGAACCTAATCAGATCATGATCACCGTCACCCAGAGTACCTCCAATCTTCAGGTCCTCTACCATGTCCTCCCCTTTGGTTAGCGCTAATTCCAGAGTGGCTTTACCTCAGTCGGTTATTTGACAGCCTGTGACAGGAACAGGTCATCAGTAGCTGCTAAGAAATTGGTTGACTTGATGGAGCCGGCCGAAAGGTCCTCCCAACAGATGTTAGGGTAGTTGAAGTCACCCATCACCCATCAGGTCTTTAGTTCTGGTTGCCTCAGTCAATTACCTGGAGAATGCCTGAAAAACAAAGCAGTCAACTCACTGAGGGACAAAAGGGTTATAAAAACTAATCCAGGTAATAGGATAAGAATCTGTAGTTTAGGTTTTGACCATTCTTAATACAATCCAGTCTGTGGATGATTTTTTGTTCTGCAATTTCCTATTCAGGTTTGTTTTTTTTAACGTGTCATTGTCTAAGAACAGGTGATGTCGGACTGGACCTTTCAAATTCTAATGTTGTCTGGACTTGTTTGAACAGCTGGGCTTCAAGTCATTTTAAAGTGGGAAAGTCTGTTAAATTGGGAAGCAGATGGAGAACCTCTAGCTGGCCATGCATGGGACAAAGTGCATCATCATTCAGTACAAAATTACTGCCCTGTAACCCGTTTGGTCATTATGGTTTAGTCCAGGGGTGGCCAACCTGTAGCATGGGCAGCCTCTCTTTGTGGCACATGGCAGATAGGGAGGAGGCAGAAAGCAGAGGAGCAGGAGAAGAGGATCACAGTGGCATTTGTAGAGAGTTTGGGATAATTTTGTTGGACACCTGCCAAAAAGGTTGGCCCTCACTGGTCTAGACTGACTCTAAATGTCTTTCTCTGAGCTTTCTGTTGTCTTGGGCATTTCTTGGAAATCTAAGGCACTTTTCTCACCAGCCCTTTTTGTCTTCCTTACTTCCCAACCAGGTGCAGACTGATCCCTCAGGTCTCTATATTGCAACTAGTTGTTCTGACAAAAACCTTTCCATTTTTGATTTCTACTCTGGCGAGTGTGTGGCCACAATGTATGGGCATTCAGGTGAGTTGCACAAGCTATTTTTCTAGCTGCTGATTTAATGTTTGTATAATGGTGGCCAGCATAATGCTCACTAGCTCTTCTGCATTTTTAGTTTTCAAAAAAGCTTTGCATAGAAAACTCGATTCCTAATAATTTTTTAAAAATCCCAAACCTTGGAATCTTTGGGGTCCTTTGAGGCAATTGAGGGCTAGCTCAAATTTTGATGTCCAAAAATTCCATTTTGGTTTTATGTTAAAACGACCTATTACATGTTAATGTTTTTAATATATTAGCTGTAAAACTGCTTCATTGTTAATTCTCTTGCTCTGCTGGCAGATCACTCCTCCCAGAAAACCTTATGTCTTTCTACAATAGCCCTCAATGATACCCTGTTTTATGTTGGGAAGATGCTTCAATCTTGTTTGTTCAGTTATGGGGTTTCTCATGCTGTTACATACCTCAATCCTGGTCTGCAGGGACTGTGGTCTTAAATATGATGTGGGAGTTTGGGTATCTTGGCTCCATGGAAACATGCTGGATGTAATCAGTATTTGACTGCTGAGCTGAGCCCAGCAAATCCATTTAGCTAATGATCTGTGCTGCTCACTGGGGTAGTTCAAGAGTTGCTGTTCTTTGTTTTATTTTACACAGAGATTGTAACTGGGATGAAGTTCAGTAATGACTGCAAACATCTGATATCTGTCTCTGGTGACAGGTAAGCAAGCAACAGTCTTGTGATTGTGAAGTCCCTCTTATCTGGTAGAATGGCAAGTCATTGTTTTGTGCCATCTCGAGGTGCTTTAACCCTAACACATGAAGGGAGGTGGTAAAAGCATGAACATTTGGGGCGCTACAGTGTAGTGGTAGCCCTGTTATAGAGTCCAAAACCGCCTTTCTGTATCCTAAATCTCAATGTGGTGCTGTGGGCAGGCTGAGCTGTGCTTTAGTTTCTTTTTTAAAGTAAATTACATGTCCCTGTGAGGTGCCAGTATCAGTGGACCCATGAGTTCAGGGGCTACTTCCTGCTAGCATGGCCTGGGGCACAAGCTCACCCTTCCAGGGTGAGCAGTTATAGGGAGGAGCCAGGGCTCTTGCTTGGTAGCCATGTAGAGGAGCACAGAGTGTGAAATCCTAAATGGTGGTGCTGCAGGTGGGCTCTGCAGAAACTGAGACATGGCATCTCTGAGGCCATGATGCCATCTGGAGCTGCTGTCTAAGACTATACTGCCATGAATAGTCTTAGATAGCAACAACAGTATTTAAAACACAGTTGTAACCATGGTAAGAAAAGAGACTTGAGCAAAGGGAGGTATATGGGGTTCAGTGTTGTATATATCAGTGTCTGATGTTGTATTGCATCACTTGGGTGTTTCTGGGTTTCATTCAAGTTAAACAGACTTCTCTCCCAACTTACCCACCTTGTGTGTATTAATATAAATCAGGTGCAGTGTGTTGGGGGAAGCATTCACTTGTGCTCTGCTGCTTTATAAAGGAGTGAATTCCAGATGCATGGAGCAAGTGGGGGATGGAGCATTGCTCAGTTTTAACTGTGATGTTACCCCTTGTCTTAAACGTATAGTATTATCCATTTACCCCATACATGGTGTCCTTTGCTGATCACATTAAATAAGATAAGAAAACAAGGAAGGTATGGAAAATGTTGCTAAGAAATGAGAAGGGATTATTTGAAGAAGTCAGTTTTAAGGAAAGGGCTCCCCAAGGCCCACAGATTGGCCATGAGGTCAGAGGGAGGATTCCTGCCACATGGAATAGCATGACGGAAGGCATGAAGTAGAGATGGGAAGAAAAATAAGGGCCTGATTAAGGCCAAAGAATTGGCAGGCACTCAAGGGAAAGTACCGCAGGAGGAGCTGAAGCACAAAGGTGGATGGGGGCAAGATTATGAAGGGGTTTGTGTATCAAAGCTGGGATGTATTTATTGGTTTATATTCAACTGTTGCTCTGCAGTTCCCTCTAGCTTTGACTTGCTATTTGAGGTGGAGGGGATGGAAGGATAAATCATGAACAGGCCAGGCTTGCCTTTTGAATTTTAATTCGTGCTCTTGGAATCACCTCCATTAATTCAACTGTTGTGTTTTTGAGAGGGAGGGAGCTGACTTTGAAGGAAAGCAGCTGGCCAGCCAGCTCTGGATTTCCAAAACCCCTGGTTGTCATACCTCCTGGCTGCCAGACCTCACAACTTTGCCTGTTCTTTAAAAAGCTGGGTGTGGTGTTCCTAGACCCGAGTCTCTGGGAATGCTATTAATTCCTGTTTGGAGTCCAAAGGAGCACAACACTTTTGAAAACATAATACCGTCATTTTCTCTCTTCCTAGCTCAAAACAATTGGGTGGAAGAGGGAGATCATTTAACATTGAGAAAATTGATCATTAGTGAAATGCAGATCATTTTATTTCCTACAAACTAAATGTTATGAGGCTATGATGCATCCTAATGTGAGAAGGAGTTGTATTTCTTAGCCTTTTGCTTCAACATCCTGGTGCTCTACAGAAAATATAAAGGATGTACAAAATCGCATCGTGAAGCATCTTTTATGAGCCAAAAAGCCTCTGTTACCCAGTTCACCCTATGCTACCAGGCTTGAGGTTGGAGAGGAGTTTCCCTGGAAGCCTGACTCTCAAGGTACCATGCACCCTGGTGGTGTCCTCTTGACTCTTTGGAGAACTAGCTTTTTTAGGCTAGTTCTCCAAACCAGAAAGGACTGTTCCTAAATTCACCTATAAGGAATATTAATGACCTGAATTGAAACACAGCTTAACCCACTCATTCTCTTTTCTCACTTGCAGCTGTATCTTTATCTGGCGTCTGAGTTCTGAAATGACCATCAATATGCGACAGCGACTAGCTGACATGAAACAAAGAGGGAAGCAGGTGGAGAAATCGCCACCTCGCAAGACAACAGGACTTAACAGGTGAGGAGGGCAGATGCAAACTATGGGGAAGGCTGGCTACTATTTCATATAGGAAATTTGGGGTAGTTGATTTTAAGTGCTATTTGGGTTGTTGGTAATCCCTATCAGTAATATCTTTTAAGTTTTTTCCTTTTTATCATTTTTGTCTTTATACTGCTTTTTTGGCTGCTTGTTCTATGTCTTTCAACATTTGGATTTAAACACCTGACTATGATCTGACGGCTACGTTATTTCATTCTGCTTTGCACTCTTTACAGAATGTCACATCTCCTTTAATCTATTTTTTGGAAGATGATGTCAAAAACATGCTGTACAAAACAGTACTGAGAGTGGTACACAAGCATCCTGTCTAGGGGAGCGTGATCATTTATGAATAGAGATTTGAGGTGCCAGGCTAAAGCTTCACCACTCAAATTAAATTTTATGCAAAGTATGCACTGGAAAATACCTGACATTTTTAAACATGGCAAATACCTATAATTGCTTGTGAGGGTGATAACAGGCTTTATGGTAATTATCGCCTTTACAGGAATGAAGGCTTCAGAGAAGGTTACTGTTTAAAAATATAATTCCATAAGAATTATTTTTCTCGGTCATTTCCCCCCACTTTACAATACAGAATGGAAACCCTGAGCTAGATCTAAATTTATCTAGTGATCCTACTTTGAAAAATGGTGCTTAGATATAGAGCTTTGATTTCAAACAGAGCTAACTTGACTGCAAGGGCTAGGGTGTTGCTTTTTTTAGGATTGCTGGTCAGTTTAGTGTAAAATGGTATGGCTTAAGCACTGCACTCGCAGTGGCTGATTTGACAACAGTGGGGTGGATGAGGGAAGCATCTGCAGCTCTGGCAGGCTCACATGGTACCAAAAATGGGTGTTGAATCCACTCTTTTTCCCCAAATGGCTAAACGATTTTAAAATCTGAATAATGAAGTGTCAAAGCATCAAAGGTCTTGTCAGACTGGTTGTTTGCAAATATTGCAAGAGCTTCCCATTCTCTTTGGGAGTTGTTAGAACAAGTCTGTCTGCATAGTTTCACTTGGGAACCTTGGGCCACTCTCTTCTTCGGAGCATCTCGTTTGACAAGTGTGCCATAATTATTCTGGGATGCTTCAGTACTGAGCCATGAAGCCAAAATGCTTTAGCTGTAAAGCAGTGTGCTTTTTATAGCAGGCTCTCCATAATTCCAGCAGCTGCAGCTTTGCCTGACTGAGGTGCAGTCTGTGAGGGACGCTCCCAGTTTCATTTGGCACAAGGTGAGACACATTTCTGTCACATACTCTTGCTGGAGGGTGGTGCCAGTGCCACGCCAGTCCCAGCAATTTAGGAAAACTTGCTTGGTGACCTCGTTACTAGAGTGGAGCCTTCTGGTTTTGGTCAGTTTTGAAGCTTGTTTTCAGTTCTGAGCATTCGCTGTGGTCACCAAGTATCGACAGACGTAATACCAGAGCATTACAGATTGCTGGCTGAATTTGGAGGGAATAACTCATTGTGTTCAGCATCACTGTGTGGAATTGAGGAACTGAGGATCTGGAGTAAGAATCCCTGTTTTATACATATGTAATACCTGTTCTGGTTACTTCTGAATCTGTTTGTAAGCTGCTATGTAGAGTTGGTTAAATCTAGATGGGTAAGAGTGTCCTCTCATTAGTGGTGTAGGCATAAGATCCACAGAAGCATTAAGGTTCTCCAGCCATGGTGTTATATGATTCAATTTTATTGAACTGTGTATAGTACTGTATTGGTTAAAGTAAGTCTGTTACCAGCTGGGTGATGCAGCTTCTTTCACGTTCTGAGAGCAGTCAGGAAACAGAGGCTTCAGAAACCTGATGACTTGAGGGCTCTACTTGGACTGTAGAGAGCTGAAGACTTATTAGCCAATATAACTTTGCCTTTATCCAGCTATCACAGGGCCTAGCCCAACTGCATATTGCCTGACATTCATGTTGACTCCTTATGTAATAATGAATATCTTTTGAAGAACATCTTTTTATATTCCCATTGCTTTCTTTTAGAGTATACAAATATCCCTTTGGGTTCTGCTTCTCATCATGAAAATTGCTGGTGTGTTCTCCCTTCCCTCATTGACAATGAGTTATTTTTTTAATTATTATGAGAAATGTAACCTGTACTCATTTGTACTGCTAGTGCATTTGGGTTTTTAGATGTTTGTCTTCAGAGTAGGAATTGCAAAAAGGCCTGTATATTCTTAGTTTTAGTCTCAGCAGGCATTATTGTTTGCGAAAAATATTTTGTCTCATCATTTGGAAGAGAGGTTTTACATTGAAACTTTCCACTGTTAGATCAGGGATTATACGCTTATGTGTTAGTGGAGTGTTTATATCTCTAAATCCCCCTTTCTGTGATGTTATTGGAGATCTCTCTTTAATAGCAGAAGATAGACTTGATTTAATTTTGGATAATGTTTCTAAAAGTACTATTGCGTATACTGTATGTACTCTGGGGAAGCTGCAATTGTTCTTGAGTTTATACTAAACTGCTAGCTCTTTATCAAATGCTTAGTGAGCCAGCAGTCCGTTCCAGAAAGAGCTGAGTACTTCCCAGGATTTGAGTATATTACCATTTTGATGCAAAAGTAAATTGGAACCTGATTAAACACAGTTTTTTTCCAATTTTGGTCGCATCATTCCACTAAAATGTGTGTCATTGTGTGCGCATTTAGAGCAGGGGCGGGCAGTTATTTCAGGTTGGCTGCTTAACGAGTTTTAGTGAGTTGTCGAGGGCCACTTGAGTAGCCCTGCCCCCTGACAGTTGCTCTGCCCCCTTGCTGCCATCTTGGGACCAGAAGTCCCACCCCCCAACCCCTGACCTTTTCCACCAGAAGTCTTCCCTTTGTCCCCCGGAAATACTCCTTTTGGGAGTAGAACCAGAAGAAAACGAATCATGTACTAGAAGTCAAACACCTATTATAACATATTTTAATTTCATTCCAAAAAATATTTTTGGCATGATTTGTGTTTGTGTACTGTATATAGAGGTGATTGCATAATAACCCAGAAATGAAGTCTTAGTTTTGTATATTGTGGGTGTGTCTGGTGGGGTGTGGGAGGTTGTGAGGGAGTGACTGTGTGTGTTGGGGGGACACAAGGTAGGTTGGGCAGTTGTGTATACGTGGGGGCAGGGTATGGGTATGAGGGAGGTTGGGGGGGTGTGGGGACTCCCCTACACACCCCCATGGCGCAGCAGCAGGCAGGGTACTCGGGACTCAGGTGCCCAGCAGGGTGCGGCTCCACCCAGCACTGTACATTGCGCTGAGCAGCATGGCCTCTGTTGGGCCACCTGTATCACTGGTGCTCCCTGTCGCTCATGTGCAGCCCCTGCACTTGCAAATCAGAGAGGGAAGCCCCACGTGCTGGAGCCGGCTGCCTTCCCTGCTGGGGCTGCGCTGCAGGGGAGGGAAGCCCCAGGAGCCTTCCCCTGCAGGGCGGGGAAGGCAGCCGGCTTCAGCCTGGGGCTTCTCTCTGGTGCTGTGCAGACTCGGCAGGGAAGGCAGCCGGCTCCAGCATGTGGGGCTTCCCCCCCGTGCCCAGCAAACAGGGGCTGCACGTATGTGAGTGGCAGGCAGTGCCAGCGACATGGGTGGCTGGGCAGAGGCTGCGCTCCTCACTGCGATGTGTAGGGCTCGTTGGAGCCATGCCCTGCTGGGCGCCTGTGCCCTGAGCACCCAGCCTGCTGCTGCTACCACCGCAGCAGCCCCATGCAGAAACTGCATGCTGGCCAGCCAGGCCCTTCTGCCCATGAGTGGGAGCCAGGCAGTAGGGTATGTTTTGGGGTTGTTATGTACATGTGGGTGGGTGCCTTGCTCCCAGCCTCATAGGTGGAAGAGCTGGGCGGGGCACAGTTTGTTGGGGGGCCCCACGGGCTGGATGAAAGTGCTTGGCAGGCCACATCCAGTCCATGGGCTGTATTTTGCCCACCCCTGTATTAGAGTATATTAGAGTATTTTGCCCTGATTAATATGCCCCTGAAGGTACCAAGAGCACAGAATTAGAGTTAGGATGCTGTTATCATTTTGATATATTTTTCCCTTTGTTCACTTTTAAATATGATTTTATTCAGAAAGCAGAAGAGGACACTGAACAGTGTGTATTATTCTGACATCTAAATTATTTGAAGCTATAAAAATGTGTGTTAGTACAGGGACAAAACCGTATCTGTACTTCAGGGAGCTTAGATCCAAAGGCTCTGATCCTGTGACTAACTCCAGCAAGTTGGAGCTTCCTGAACCGTCATGAAGCCCCAGCAACTTCAGTGCAATGTTATGGGGCTATAGAGTCTACCTCTGAAACATGAGCTGCATGGTCAGGGGCCAAAAAATGATACAGTTTGAAAGAAAGTTAGGGGAGCAGTGGGGGAGAATGAGAGAAAAATTAAGCTTGTGTTATGGTTTTAAGTGAATTGAACCTGTATCCTGAGAGCTGTTCTGACCATCACCTGAAGGCTTGTCTAGTGTAGAGTTATTCTGGAATAGCTCTTGGGTGTGAAATCAAAGCACAACTTAATTTAAATTAGCTTTGAAGTTCAGGTAAGATGAGGGAGAGGGAGACTGTTGGTTGTATCGGCTGCATACATCAGTGTTTGGTGGTCAAGAACAGGCTTCTTATTTTCTGGTCTAAGGCAATGAAAGAAAGGTAGGAGAAAGAAATAAAGCTTATGGTTTGGTCAAGTAAAAGAGAAATGGCAGGAAGAATTTTGAAAAGCAGCCTAATATATGGAGCCCAAGTTAACTTTCATAAGTTAAGTTTTGAGCCAATAGGGCTTAAGCAGTTTTGAAAATTTACCCTCAAGGACAAGTTGAATATGTCTGAACACATTCTGGTTGCAGGAAAGGGCACAGAGAAGGGAAATAAGGCTTTTTGTGATAATAAAGAATCAAGAGTTATATCAGACCCCTCTAACCTGATGCATTATTTGATAGGTTCAGTAAGATGATAATTTGCATTGACCTCTCTTACTTCTACAGTTGTACACCTGTTTACCTCCTATTTTTCCACTTTTCTGAAAATGCTTGAATGTATTCTTTTCTTTTTTTTCCTTTTGCTAATCTCTTTTTGATAAACATGGACTTTGTGTATTTTCTTGTATATAATTTCAGTCATGCTGCTCTGCTAAACCTTTCCCAGTCCTATATCATAGGATAGATTAGAGGAATTTCCCAAAAGGTGGCAATGACTTGCCCTGAAATCTAATTAATGATAGATATCTCAGATACCAACTAGTTATTCATCAGACCTTTTATCAATATTGTAATAGGGGCAATACATTTTAAAACAAAATACACGAAACACAGATGCCACTATAAAATGTACCAGTGTGTCAAAGTTAATATTGCCTTCTGTATATTTAAAACAAGAATGTGCATTGTGGTATAATCCACAGCATAGCCACAAGAGGTACTATGGTACATGACCTCTGGGAGGATACCACTGACCAGGAAAAAGGACCCAAGGAGGACTGGGTGGAGAGATGTGGAGGCAAATGGGGGAAAAAGCAGAGAAGGGAAATCTGCAATTGGAAAACTTGCTGGAAGAATCCAGTGAGTAAGCCTTTTATTTGTCTTCTCCAACCTAGCCAGAAAATACTGAAAATTACTCATTATCCTATTGCAGGGTCGGGCAATTATTTTGGGCAGAGGGCCACTTCCCACCCCTGGGCAAGCCATTGAGGGCCGCATGACAGGCAGCCCAGGACAGATAAATATTAATTTTCTAAATTTTTTAGGGGCCCTGTGGGCTGGATAGAATGGCCTGGTGGGCTTCATCTGGCCCCCAGGCCGCATTTGGCACACCCCTGTCCTATTGGATAAGCTCTCTCTGTCTTTCCTGATAGAAAGAAAATTTGATTTCCATTGTCGTATAAAGGAGAAAATACTGCAATTCTCAATTCCTCCTGTCCTATTTAGTAGTGCCTACAGTCTGTAAATTGCAGCAGATTTGGTCCTAGGCCAGGCTGTTCTATATTTGGTAGATGAGTTATTTTTGTCTGCTGAATACCTTGCGCTTACAGCCCACCCACAGCACTTTATAAAGGTTGCTAATGATACACTTGGCTGTCTTGTTCAAGGTCATGGAGTGTGTGCTATACTGATTGATTAGTCAAAGAATCTGAATGTATTTAATTGTGCTTTATTACTTCAGGTGGCTAAAAAGGTTAGTTGATTTGGTTCTGTTCTAATTTGACTGAGGGGTGGGGGGAAATGTATCTTATACTGGTTAAAAAAAATCCTCTGTTGATGGGAAGTTATGCTTGGGGTGACTCTGGAATCCATATCAGAAATGTCTCCCATTTCCATTTTAAGGATCTATCCAAGGTATGTTTGATATTCTTTAGTGTGCCTTATGGCTGACAGTACAGCCGGACAACATGATGGCGTGTAGACTATGCATGCAGGTTTTACAAGTAGGTTTGCTTCAAGTAATCAAACTTCTCTCTCTCACAACATCATCTGTAGCTTTCTCAAATGCCAAACTTCTATCAAAGGAAAAGCCTTTGTGATGGTTGTGGTACATAAAAAAGACCAACAGGGGAAGAGGGAAACATGATAAAATGTCCACAGGTAGAAAAATAACTTTTATTTTTCAAACGGCTTCTGTCAGTCTTAAATTATCAGGGTTTGAATTGTAAAGCCAAATTACGATTGTATATTGTATGCCAGTTATTCTCAGCCTCTTTAGATCCAAGGCACCCATCAGAAAATGCCAGCTCCTAGCATGGCATTTTTTTTGTTACAGAAAAAATAGAGCTATTATTCTGTTACAAAGAACTCAGAAAGACCACAACAAATGAGGATGCTTTTGACACCATGGATTGACTCTGGATTTATATAAGCATTTGCACACACAAGACTGCAAATACTATGTGGCACTTTGCTACATCCTTAAGAGGATCTTGTGGTACCCCCAGGTGCTGTGGCACCCTGCCTGAGAATCACTGCTGTATCTGTTACTATTTAGGATTCTATAACCTTTCCTTACATGCACGTGATAGCCTGGTCAGGTTCCAGGAACCTGCGGTGCATAATTGGCACCACATCTCGAAGTCCTGTTCTGCTGGACAAGGTCAGTGTCATTTGGAGAAATTGGAAGAATATGAGCGACATGATGCATGATAGAAGTGACATGAGGAAATGTACTGGCTGGCATGTGGATTCAACAGGGAGTTCTTGGGAGGTACCATAATGTTTCTTGCAATTCCTACCTCCCAGGCATGAGTCTGTCTCTGTCCTGTCTCCTGTGCCTGCACTCTCATCAGACAGTGACAAAGATGGTGAAGATGAGGGGAATGATGAAGATGAGTTACATGGGTTGCAGTCTTTCCAAATTCAATCCAACTGCAACACTGAGAGAGACTTGGGTATGTATGGGAAAGGAGAGGCATGGACAGGGACTGGGGAGAAGTGGGCAAGAGTGTATGTATAGAGTATTCATGAGGCTGTATAGGGCAGAGTAGAGACAATGGAGAGCATGTGGAGTCTGGGAAGGCAACTTCATTGTGTAGGAAGGAATGAAAATAGCAAGATGGCTCAACCACAATTAGATAACATTTGAGTTGTTTATACTGAGCTGTAGAGAGATTGATTAGTGATATTTCCCCTTGCCCTGCCCTTTAAAATTTTAACTGTAAGTTTTTACCAGGTTCTTGCCCGTTCCAAACAAGTTGGCCATACAGATTTTGAATGAGAGCTGTCAGGTTTGAGTGACAGATTCCTAGAAGCTAGTAAAGGCCAAGAGACCTGTCTGAGGATTCTAACGAAACCTACTAGAACTTCTACTAGAGATTAGCATTACTAGTGTTAAGTATATCACAGCTGGAATTATCCATAACACAATAAACTTTAGAAAGATGGGGATAGAGGGCTTAAAAGTGTGCTTACTGGCTAGGATGCCAACTTGTTTTACTTTTTCTCTTTTCAGATCCAGAATTTACCCTCTCAAGAAGTCTCTCCTATTGGGAAATGAGGAGGGTAAGTCATTAATTCTTTGAAATGTGCTTCTGTCATATGCATACAGAAACCACAAGATACTCATCCTCTTGGGGTACTGCTATAAGAATTCTTCCAGAGCAGAAATTCTACCCTTGAGCCCTTTCTGGGAGAGACGGTTTTGGATGGCAGACAAACTTGCAAGGAAGTTTCCAGTGATATCATGTGTTGGTATTGCTCAAGGATTATGATTTTATAGAAGAGAACAATAAAATTAATAGAACTGGAATAGCTTTGTTTTCACTGTCAGTGAAGGATGGGATGCAAGGCATTACTGAAAACATAAGGAATACCATTTTAAAAATGTTTAGGGGGCATTTTGTGCCCCAAAGCTTGTCTAATGTCTCTCCAAACTATACAGTTGTACCAGTAAAAATGTCACTAAAAATGTCTTGCTTCTCTCATTTTCTGGACTGTATGGCTATAACACTCCACCCCCATTTGCCATAGAATTTTATCTTCAACCTTCTCTTCTCTCTCTTAAACCTTTTCCAGACCAAGGAGATTGCAGCAAATCAGCGTTCCGAAGCAACAATGAACAAAATGCCTCGGCAGCGTGGGCGCTGGTCCCAACCAACCAGTAACATAGAGATGACTGTTAAATCTATGCTTGACTTGCGCCAGCTAGAATCTTTTTCAGCTTCTCGATCTGTTAGCCGAGACTCGCTGTCCCAAACCAGCAATGGGGATGATAAAGAAGAGCAGGCTGATCTCCCTCCACACATCAATATGGTAAGAGTGGCTGTTCTCCAGTGAATTAACTTGATGCCACTTCATCAGGTGCTTGTTCTGGCTCTGGTTACTGTTGCTTGCATATGACATCACCCTTTTATATATTGCCCTTTTAATCTTTGGAGTAAAGATTAAAGACTCCCTGTTAGGTCCAGGTTATTAACAACAGACCCTGCCATACAGCATTATGCAAGGCTTATTTCTTCCCTTAAAGATAATCCTATAAGAAAACAAGGGTTAATTTATAGGCAGAGAGAAACTTGAGCTTCTTCAGAGGAGCTTTAATGGAGCAGTTTGTTCCCTGTGGTCAATAGGAATTAAAGCTTGCCTCAATAAATGACTGGTTTTATATGCTCATATTACTGATTGCACCCCTTCTGGTAGCGGATATTTTGCAATTCCCATGTTGTCCTGCTGATATGAAGGAAAAAATACTAGTAACCGCTACTAATGCTTCATTTAACTCGGGTCCATTACTGCCAGCCACCCCGTCTACTTTTCCCAGGGGTGCTGAGAGTCGCTTCCATGGGTGTCTTAATTGTAGCTCCTGTGAGGACTCAGAGTTCTTGTGTAGTCTGTGGTTAAGTTCATCTTTAATGCAGCTCTGTGCCCTATGATAAGCCGCAACAAGCAGGGTATTATCTTGCACAAAAGAGGCACTGTTTGGATTAGTGGTTCTCAATCTTTTTAGACTCAGGGCATCCTTGGATACTTGAGGGACCCCTCTGAAATTGCCAGCTCTTAATTTTCATTCTTATTTTAACTTCATAATAAAGCAGTTTTTATGTTGCAAAGGACTCGGAACGACCACAACTATGGATTTCTATTTGAAATCCTTGGGTTTATCTTGTGAATCATATTTGTAAACCTACCAGTGCTAAACCTAATTGTGTGGCATCCCATGGTACCCTTGAAAGGATCTCAGGGCACCCTGATTTGAGAGTCACTGGTTTAGATAAAGATAATTCTGTACTGGGACCTGACTTCAGTTGAATAACTCCTATTTTTATACATTTATATTATTGATTGCACCCCTTGTGGTAGTGGTTTTTTTGCAATTCCCATGTTATCCTTCTGATTGGAAGGAAAACATTCTAGTAACCTCTACTGTTTCTGTGCTAGGTTGGAAACTCAATAGCTCCTGAGGATAACCGGCCTTGTGTCCGCCCCCAGGTGATCCGGCTTGTGTCCTGTGAAGAGGGGGTTTTCTCTCAGGAATTGGAGCCCTCTGGGAGTGAGGAATGTGTAATCTACCCTGAACAAGATGAGATCCTTCCCACAGATACGAACAGGTTAAAAATCAGTTCTCTTCTGTGCATGGCTATGCTGCTGCTATACATCTTGCTTATGTGCAGCTCATGGTAACATGGCTAAGGAAATTTACGCCAGCTCAATGCTGGGCATGTTTAGTTAAGGACTTTACTAATGCCAGCCTGATTCTAAGTTCTAAAGCATGCTGAGCTGAGGGTGCTGTTAAAACAGTCTTTGCTCATGAGGAAACCATGCATGTCAGCAACCTCCTCCAATTTCTCCTTGAATAAACATCTTGGAAGCAACTAACTTTCTCCCTTATCTGGCTTGAAATTAAGTAAGGGAAAATGTTATGCTGGAAAACTTCCTAACAGTGAGATGGATGTGGCTTTGGAACAGTTAGTTAAGAGAAGTGGTAGAAGCCCTATCATTTGGGATGTTTTCAAACTTGACTGGGCAAGGTGCTAATAAACGTAGCATGTAATAGCCTGTCTTTCTGCTGTTACATAGTTATGTGATCTGAAAGGAATTTAAAGGGACATCAGAGAGATTTAAGAGGCCGTTGTTCTCTGTACTCTCTCTTTTATACTTAGACCATTTCACTTTGTTTATTCTGCTATGCTCCCTTGTTTTTCCTCTTCTCAGGATAATTCTGCTTATAGCTGTTTAATACCTTCCCTTTTCCCCCTATCCCAGTACAAAATGAGTTTTCATGCAGCAGTGTATGCCAAGATTTTGTAGTTAAAACAGTTAGGTTTCTCCCAGTTTCTCTTTTATTTATGTTTTTAATTTTATAGCAATAATATTTAGACAGGGCAAGCCTGCATGCTGTTCTTGCATGTTAGAAAGGAGGCCCTGTGGTGGTGCTGGATACAAATTGGACACGTTACAAAGTGTGCACAGTTTGCAAGCTGTCAGAACTAATCTCCACACAGTTACGTTATATTAAATATCCATTATGGTGACTCCCATGTTCCAGCTCACAATTTTAGTGCATGGGCTCTATTTGTTTCTAATGCCAAATTGTTCCTTAAAATGGAACATTGTAATCTTCAGACATCAGACAAGAGGATACCATTGACCTCATTCAGTGACATGAGACCTACAAAATTTAGAACAAATGCAGGGATTCAAATCTTCCACTACTGAGTTTCATACAATATCCTCTGCTGAAAATTAACCTCTTCAGTCATAGAATCTTATATATTTTGCAGCAGAGACAGCTCAAAGGACGCAAGTGTGAAAAGATGCTAGCTTAAGGCCTCAAAATGTGGGGAAATAGTTTTCATTATAGGACATTCCTATTGTATATAGGAATGTCTTCACTGCAGGGCCCTTCCTCATCGTCTCATTTATCTCTTTTAAATTTATTTATTCAATGGACTCATGCATTCATTCCTCTGCAGTGCTGAGAACCCAACTACTGCAGCATATGTGGCTAGTGCCTCAGGATTAAGAATGTGAAACTGACTGTAGTCGGAAGGTGAAATGGACCAGTCCGATTTCACTGTCCAAGCTTATTGAAATGCAGAAGTAAAGTACATAAATTGTGAAAGATGTAATACTTTAACTTTTTTTTTAATCTTGTTTTTTTATTGTGTTAATAGCACAGGCAAGGGCTCTTTAAAACATATAACATTTAGCTGATAACTGCCTCTTTAAATGCAAAATGGACCACTCTTCTAATTCTGTATTTTTCCTATCTCGCTTGCAGTGAGTTCCGAGTAAAAGCGCTGCCCCATGGGAAGCTAAGTCGAGGCTTCCACAGCAATGGATGTCCAGATAAGCACAGCCCTGACAGTGCCTGCTCTGTGGATTACAGTAGCAGTCGCCTCTCCAGCCCAGACCATCCAAACGAAGGTGAGTTGTAAATGCATGCTATGAGACTATGCATGTGATCATGGAACATTGTGGAAACTTAAAGGGATCATTCGCTGTTGTTAGTAATGCTAACTGTGAGATGTATACGTGGACTTTGGGGAGCTCGGATGACTTCATACTCTTATTAAAGGTCTTGGTGATATTACTTCTAAGCATTGGGTACCTTTAGCAACATACATTTGTGAAGTTCATTTAGTGATTGGGTTTTTTGACTACCTGTTATCACATACTAGCTAATGAGATAACTGTATTTGTGCTTTGGGGGAATTGTGCTGCCTGGGGGTACTGTACATCAGGGTATTGAATCCTAATGCTGCTTGGTTGATACTCTTGCCAGTCCTTAATGTGCCATACCATCTTCCTGAGTAGTTGCTTCTGGGGAACAATGCTAATGGTTGTGTAAATTTTACTGTGATCAAATGTTACTTTCTGTGCCTCTGCAGACTCTGAGAGCACAGAGCCCCTCAGTGTGGATGGGATCTCAGACCTGGAGGGAGAAGGAGAGGAGGATGCAGGTACTGGCATGCTAGAGGGAGAGGTCCCCAGGACTCCAGATCAAGAGAAGTTCCTCAAGCAGCATTTTGAGACATTGTCCATTACTGGTGAAAAAGGTACATATGCCAAACTGGTGGGAGCCCTCTGATGAGGCATCATAGCTCCCAGTTTATCTGCTTTGCTTTAAATCAGGTTTGACAGCTTTCCAGTTGCACAGAGCAGGGATGAAAACCAAGGCAGAGAGGTTAAGGGGAAAAAAGGATGGCCTGTAATTCCTAGTCTGGAGGTTGAGAATATGTGTGTAAGAAACTGGGTGTAAAAGGGTGTTGACATTGGCTTGAGCTAGCAGAATTGTTCTTGTTAACTTGGTAAAGCACTTTGCTGGGGATCCTGAGAAGCCATGTTCTCATTTCAGCTCAATCTTTCCTTTATCAATAAATGTACTAAGGCATAAGCTTGTTTCTCTGTATACAATATGTGGTGGCCTCTAGTGGTATGTGTGTGCATAACAGACGTCACAAAAGAAAAAGACGATGCAGGGCGGAGGAAGAGAATGAGAACAACACAAAACATCAAAGTGGAAAAGGAGATATTTAGTTTCCCTCAGTCAGCTTGGGACCAAAGAGTATTTTGCTAGTACTAATAGTGGTTGTAGTTTAGCATTCTCCTTCTAAGCTTTCTGTTTTTTTGGGGGGGTTTTTTGTTTTGTTTTGTTTTTGCATTTTGATAGCCCACAGTCCTATAGACAGGGTAGGACTCTGCACAAAGGGAATAGGGGAAGGGGAGGAATACCCTTAGGGAAACTCTTCTTTCTTTTGACACAGTTTGGGACTGAGGAAGTATGATCTAATAAAAGAAGAAAAGGCAACAGAAGGTAAAATTTATTCTCTGTGTCTTGATACCTAGAGTAGAGTAGTTTTTACATCTCTGAAATACAACAGCACTTTATAGAATGCACTGCAAGAAAAAACACTCGTCAGAATGTTTGCATCATATTTGTAACTGACTTGCACACTTCCCCCCCCATAGGTGGATCATGTAGGACCCTGGAGAGAACAGAAAACCTCAGCATTTCCTCTCGCTTTCTCTCCCAGTCCCCGGCTCTCAGGTACAGATGTTTTTACTTTTACTAGTGTGAGTAGGTTTCTTGCTGGGTGCTGGACCATGGCATGGCAGCAATCTTCTGGGTTTGATGTACTTTGACACTGTGGTTTCTTTTGAATAGGAACTTGGCAGTCTGGCTACCATTCAGGTTGACCATTCCATATAATCCTCATTGCTTTGGACCTCCCTAAAGTAACATTTCTTGTTTTTTGTTTCCATACATTTTTCTTAACTTTTATTAACAGCACCGTAAATGATTATAGTGAGGAGTTCTTATAATCCAATTTGCTTTTCACTGTTTATGCTTCATTAGTATTATTTTGTATTTCATTCATCTTGGACAATAAAAATAGATTGGTTTCTTTCTCTACAGTCTGTTCCTAGCATGCTGCATCTGTGATTTCCGTACCTTTGCAGGAAGCTTCAGTGCCTAGGTTATAAACTCTGCAGGGGAATTTTAGTCTTCTAAAAACAAGCTGTTTCCATTGCAGTTTAAAATAAAAATGATGGGAGCACTGATAACTGATTTCACAAAAGATTTTTATTAAACAATCTAAACTCTGGATTCAGGTTGATTTGATGGCACTGTTTTAAACAGGAACTGAATATTCACAGTCTGTGTCCACACACTTTCCCTTCTGAACACTTTCTGTCACTGTTTTAGTGCTGGAGCAGTTGTTATTGATGATAATAATGGTAGTGTAGACCGGCTGTTCTAGTTCTTACTACCCTTGTTTAGGGTGTATTTAGACAGTACAGTGGGAGAAGAATACTGGTAGATGAAGGGCTGTTACTAGCTTCAGAAGAAGTATAGTGGTATTAGAGGAAAGCTGGAAGATATTTCCTGAAAAAAAATCTACTTTAGAAGGAGCTGTAAGGTAAGCTACTCACGAAAGCATTCTGGGCTTTTTATATGCCCACTTGCCAAACCTGCCAGACTGAGAGGTGCCTGTTTTTTATATACTTATTTTGTTCTTCCTTAGAGGGAATATGCAGATGCTGAGAGTTTCTTTTTAGTGCTGTTTTCAAGGAGATCCAAAAATATAGCTCTGAGGATGCTGACCAGCTTTGGTGTGTGTAATGCTTTCAGGCCTTGTCAATCTTCTAGGGTCTTCTGAGATCCTCTGTGAGGCAGTCTTGGTGGATGACGGAAGGCTTTTGGCGTTGACATTCTGGTTTTTTTGGAGGGGACCTGACCTGAATTGAATCTAACTGTTCCTCCTGTTTGAACCTCCTCTTCCTTTGTTCCTTGGTATCTGAAAGGAAAATCCTTTGGAAAGGAAAATTAGTAATACTTTAATTTTACCATTCCTTGATATCTGCAAAGTTCCTTCATGAGACAGTGACCTAGTGCTGCTTGTGGTAATGCTCATTCTGTTGCACATTACGATGCCTACTGGGCTGCATTAGTAGGAGCGTTGCCAGCAGATTGAAGGAAATGATTATTCTCCTTTATTTAGCACTGATGAGGCCACATCTGGAGTACTGTGTCCAGGTTTGGGCCCCTCACTACAGAAAAAATGTGGAGAAATTGGAGAGTCCAGCGGAGAGCAATAAAAAGGGTTAGGGGGCTGGAGAACATGACTTCTGAGTAGCGGCTGAGGGACTTCTGAGTAGAGGCTCGTGGTGGATGGGTTGTTTTCGACCTGGAAGGGTGTGGGCAGTGGGGTCCCGCAGGGCTCGGTCCTTGGACCGATACTCTTCAATGTCTTCATCAGCGACTTGGATGAGGGAGTGAAGTGTACTCTGTCCAAGTTTGCGGATGACACAAAACTGTGGGGAGAAGTGGACACGCCGGAGGGCAGGGAACAGCTGCAAGCAGACCTGGATAGGTTGGACAAGTGGGCAGAAAATAACAGAATGCAGTTCAACAAGGAGAAATGCAAAGTGCTGCACCTAGGGAGGAAAAATGTCCAGCACACCTACAGCCTAGGGAATGACCTGCTTGGTGGCACGGAAGCGGAAAGGGATCTTGGAGTCCTAGTGGACTCCAAGATGAACATGAGTCGGCAGTGTGACGAAGCCATCAGAAAAGCTAATGGCACTTTATCGTGCATCAGCAGATGCATGACGAATAGATCCAAAGAGGTGATACTTTCCCTCTATCGGGCGCTGGTCAGACCGCAGTTGGAGTACTGCATGCAATTCTGGGCACCACACTTCAAGAGGGATGTGGATAACCTGGAGAGGGTCCAGAGAAGGGCCACACGTATGGTTAAGGGCTTGCAGGCCAAGCCCTACGAGGAGAGACTAGAGAA